GTACCGCAAGCAAGTGCTGCAGTTTATCTATTTCATAACCTCTTTTCATCAGTCTTACCAGAAATTTCTGTAAGAAGAGAGGATCTGTTTTCACCTGGGAGTCTGTACTTGCTCTTTGTTCCTACTTCATCTCATAATATTCTAGTGAAATCACAATAATTTCTAAAGAAATTTAGATTAGACCCAGCAAAGGAAACAAGGACTATTAAGCCAGCAGTGAGCTTGCCTGTGAAGTTTAAAACCTCTACCACTCTCCAAGCAAATGGGTTTGTGCAGGATAACTTGGATCTTCCATGCAGGTAGGTTGATGGGAAGAATGCCTGTTGCTCAGATCCTGAAAACATACCCACCATTTTTTTCATTTTGGATGTGGCAGCCATGGGTCAAGGCTTTTGTGCCCTACAGCTGACAGGTTATAATTTCTATCACTTTCTGAGCCAAAATCAGAGACTTCACTCTGCGATCGCCCGTCTCCCGCAGAGCGAAGTCAATTTGATTGGAAATATTTTTTTTTCTTGCTACCAAAATAGAACAGCATTTTTCATGTTGCCTATAAGGGCTGGAGGACACAATAAAAGCATCTGCCAAGGTCTCCTGCCTCTAGAGTTTGGGTCCCTCAGTCCATTTGGGATAAGCAGCCTCAGGTCCCCTCCAGGCTGTGGGCATCTACAGCCCTTCTGTCCCCTTAACGGCTTTGATTACTGCAGTACCCTGTGAGATGGAACATAGAGCTTTGGATCCCCGCCTGCAAAAGCACCAATCCGCATATTGTACTTTCTGTCACTACAACTAATGTGCTACATGGAAGAAAGGCATCCGCTCTTCTTGAGGTGTTTTACCAGGAGGAAGGTCATGCTGGCCTGTGGGAGGCATGCTGCTGGGCTGAGCTCTGCAGAGGGTTTACACACTTCGGGGGCAACCTGCATGGTGTCTGCTTGCCCCTTGGCAAGTGGGAAGGAGCTGGTACTTGTTCCCCTTAGCCTCAGCCTGGGCTGAGCAAGTGCGGAAGCAGCCGAGAGAACTTGTTAGACAAAAAGTAAGATTTAGTGAGTGTAATAATTCAAGGTGGTTAAATACCCACTGAGCCAGACTTTGGGAATCAGAGCTTCGGACTTCAGGAAGTCTCAGTGTAGCTAAACCCTGTTTATGCCTACTGCCTTTGGGGATCTGGCCCCAGCTTGATTGTCCATGTAGAGAATTATTATCACAACACCCCCCCCAATGCTTTAAGCAAATGACTGCCTAAGCAACCTGTGTTACCCCCTCATAAAAGTGAAGAAAACCCACTGGGACATTCACGCTGAGGTGGGTGGGCTGCAGAGAGATTTGCTCATTTCTTCCTTCCCCCCAGCAGTGCACTGAAATGGCGTACTTTGCTGTACTAATTCTGTAGCCTGTGAGTATAGCTCGTGTAGCATTTGAAAATTAACAGGGCTGACAATTAATGCTAAACAAAAGAGAGACTGGCAGAATATACGCATAGGCAATTTTGAAATTACATCTATGCCCGCAGATGGACAAATGAATTGCGCTGGGAGTACTGAAGCCAAACATACAGGAGTGTGTGTGCACGTTTATTTTTGCCTAAGGTTGTTCTGAAGGTCTTGTTCTAACACGTACCACAATTTTCTTCTCAGAGCAATAATAGGAACACCAGATAAGCATCCGAGTTGCAACATTTTGGGCTCATAAAATTAAAGCTTATTACGCTGATTAATGCCCAACAAAACGCATGCAACTAAAAAGCGCAAGGTTCTCCTCACTACTCTTAATATCGCTGGAGTCCCACTTTAAGCATGCCCTAAGCTTTGACACCGAACATTACAATATTGGCATTTCTTAAGCCTGCTTTGCAGTAGTTTTGGTTTTCTAGCTCTGCTCCCCCACGTAAGTTTTTTTGCATCATTGTTAGTATAACAAGCCTGTCGTCTCAGTAAGCAAATGCTGGCGATAATCTAGATGCAGATTTTGTATATACAAAACGGAAAAAGGAAAGAATACTTAAACTGGCACTTTCTTCCTGGGTATGGTAAGAACCCATCTAAATTCAGTCTTCTTTTTGTCTACAATGAACACTAAGGCCATGACTATGTAGATATTTCTTTAAGTTTATTGGTGGTTTGTATTTATTTTGTCACATACTGTAATGTGTAGCAAATAAACTTTATTATGAAGCTTATCTGCATTATAGATGCAGACTCGTTACATGGCAAGGAACATTACCAGAACACCTTGTTGACAAAGGTACAGATTCTAGGTAAGGAAGAAGACAGTACAAGCAATGCTGAGTAGTAAAAGCAGTAATAGTAATATTGTATTATTTATCCTGATTTCTCAGAAATTTTTACTTATTTCTGTGCGCGATTATAACATATCAATGTAAGCATTTAAATCAGCAGCAGAATTGCCTAGCGTATTACAACACGTTGCATTCTAATGTTTGCAGTTTGCACTGCAGTCCTGGTTTCTCAGATTCAGTATTCAACTGCCTCATTGCCGTGAGGATTCTCCTTCCCACACTTTAAACTCTTCAAGTTTCATTGTGCTTTGCTCTCACAAGGGCTTGCTTCAGTGGAATTCTGCAAGGTTAGATGCGTAGATGCTAGATAACTAGATAACTGGCAGTGCAAATACTGGGAGTAGATTATATTTTTGGAACGAAGGAGGGGATCGAGAGGTATCGGTAGTCCTCAGAGCTGCTACGATGGTGCAGAGCAGCAAGCTCCAGCACAGATTCCTCCAAATAAATCATAACTAACCTCCTTAACAGCCTGCTGGGTGTTGCTGTAAGGCCAGAGGTCAGGTGCTGGACTGTAAATCACCCTATAAAAGCCAGGAATCATGCACCCAGCAGAAACATTTTTGAGATTAACTTCGCAGGCTCTTAGAGGAGGTACAAGAAGCAGGGCTGCTCTACTGGGAGTATGCTTTAATTTGGGCTGTTAGTTTGGTATCCTGAATAGACAGGTCTAAGAGAGAGTTGTCACAGCCTGCAAGAGGTGTAAAACTAGCAGAGCAGCCAGAGGGATCAGGGAAAGTCGGTGGTTTAGGTGACAGCTAGCAATATAGAGACAAGTATGCTTTGATGCTGCAAGGGTTTTAAGAATGAAGTAGGTGATTTTGCAATAGGAGGGAGATGGGGGTATCCTTGCAAACGTAATCAACGCTGTCTCTTTGCATGTCAGGGCAGGGATATCAGCACCTGCTTATGTATAAAGTAGTCCTTCATGAAGAATAGCCAGTTCCTCAAGCCCCTATAGAGACACTGGTCAGAAAAAAATTCTCTTCTTAGATTTTTTTTTCTTTTCAAATACTAATCACATTGGCCGAGAGCCTGGCGTAAGGCAATGCAGTGAATCACTGGCACAGATCTGCCTAGGACTCGGGCGTTCAGGATTCCCGTTCCCACGGTCTCCTACTCAGTGTTTCTCAACCTTCTCCAGTGGGTGATGCCTTCCTCAGAGTGAAAAAACAAAACTCATGACTGTAAAACTGAGAGAGAAAACCTTATCGCAGTGATACTCCTATCTGGTTCCCTCTGTTTGTGTTTGAGGACATGAGAAATGCAAGGGATAAAGAATGAGCAAACCGGTGTCACGTGAGAAGCCCTCTGAAGTACTTTCAAGTGAAATTCCCCATATAGTTCATTTCAGCAATTCAGCCCATGGAAGTTCTGCTCATGCAGAGCCCACGCTTTAATTAGTCTCAACAGAAATGCGAAGCGCTGTAAGGGGTGCAGCATGGGGGAGCGGGCAGAGACAACTCTCTGGCCAGTTAGCACCCGTCCAGGGCATAAAGGAGGGAAACAAAGAGAAAAATTTCCATTTCTGTCCTTTAGGGCATTTGCACCCTTATCACTGTGAGCAGTCCCTCTACTCTGTGATCTGTAGGCGACCCTTAAAATTGGTTTGGGAATCTTTTCTCTTGGATATCTTTTTTTTTTTCACTCAACCTACCACTGTGTTTTGTAAAATCATATCCTAAAGATGAATAATTTGCCAATCTTCTTTGTAAAATGTATACCTGTGCATACTTAGACATGAGAAAGGCCCTGAAGTGGAAATACACAGAAGATGCCAGCTATTGTATAGACACCAAACAGTGAGGCATGGTTATGGTCAGTAAAACCAGCCCGTGAATTCTGTAAAGACCATGTGCCATGTGTGTGCAATTTGGTTCATACTCCAGCTTCATGAATTTATTTTACGGTACAGACAACTACTGTCACAAAGTAGGGATATCCTGTTACTGAACTTTTATCCACTTGTTATCCAACGTGTACCCAAGTAGGCAGCACTTGAAATGTGTGTAGTTTGGATAATTAATTATATGTAATTTGAGTTCTGCACTCAGAGCTGTTTTGGCAGTGAGAGCTGAAAATTTCCCTCTCTAAATTCCATGATAAAAAAGGTTCATCATGCATTTTAGTGACTCCTTAGGAAGATTTTTTTTAAGAGGCTTTCTAGGGA